TTATGAGGCTGGTACAGACCCTGGGGAAGATCTTTTACAAATCCAGCAAGCGCCCAATTCCTATTCGCATCGCAGAAGTGCAGAAGGTTGGGGGTAAAAGGGTGAAAAAGGAAGATAGGAAGAGACCGCCAACTGATGAAAAATACTCTGCTGTCGCGTCGGCTGCTGTTGTTGCCAAGGAGATCGAGAAGACTTTGGCTAGTGTTCCTGTTCACTTAGCGTCTGCTGCTACGACTTCTGTGCGCGTTGGCTGGGCGAACTTTGTACCGGAGAAGTTAGTTGAAAATGTGGAGGCGGTTGTTCAGGGCCTGGCGGAAAAGTTTATCTCAAAGGGATGGAGGAATATCAAGTCTCTGCATCTGAAGGGTGCTAATACGATGGCGATGCCCATATGGCTCGCGAGTGAATTATGGGTGGATGAAGGCGATGTGCGAGAAGATGAGGATGCAAAAGCTATCGAAGCATCGAAGAAAACGAGCAAGAAGCGAAAGTCAATTGGTGAGGAGGAACCTACAAAATCAAAGAAGTCGAAAACCGGTGAAGGGGGGGATGATGACGATGCAGAATTGAATGCGTCGAGAAAATTTAAGCTACGTGCTCAGAAGATGCGAGCTTTATCGGACGTTGAGAAGGACGCTGGTACAAAAGCTACAGTTGTCTCAGCAGCTTCCAGGGGAGCTTTAAGCCCCAACAAGAGGAAGTGAAAGTTCTTTTCAAGGTCTTGAGAGAATGGTCTTTCCCGTTTGTTCATTGTTTATTACCCAAGACTAGTTCTTGGGGTGCATTTGGAGTTTCAGCGTTATAATATATTGCAGTTTTAGTTAATGATTGAAAGTCTATCGGGCCAAGTTTCGATACCCATAATTAACACAAAGGCTATATCAGGCAATATGCATTATCATATTTGCATCCTCAAATTATTTTTCGTATATTAAAAGTATTGTATGCCCAGCCGGGAGTAGTTTTTGTGCCAGAGAGAATCAATTAACCGTGAATTTCCGAAGGGATTTGCTTAGTCATCCGAAATACCGAACTTCGGGACTCTGGGAGCTTTTTGAGGAAGAAGGCTTACAAAAGGGCAAGAGAAAGAGGATTCAAATAAAAGGAAAATACACGTCTAATCTCACCCGGCAATGAATTCCGTCTTTGCTAGACAATCAATTCTTCGGGCGGCCGCTTGGCCACTGTCTCGGCCCGTTTACCGTGCCCAGCTCTCAGCACTCTCCCGGCTTCTCTCCACACTTGCGGTTCTTGAACAGCGCAATGGCAAGATTCAAGGTTCATCTTTTTCGGCGATATCTGCGGCACAGAAGTTGGGAGGCTCAGTAACGGCGTTTGTGGCGGGGAATGGTGTCAAGTCTGGTGCGGCAGTGGAGGCGTCCAAGATTAAAGGCCTGGATAAGGTCCTTGCAGTAGATAATGCGGCTTATGAGAAGGTAGGATACCGATTTGAGTGGACCGGAAAGTCCACTGGATTACACTAGATTGGGTGTCCTGGTTGCAACACGCAGTGGTCGGAATGGGATTTAATCGTGGCTAACTGGATACATGGCACATATAGGGATTACCTGAGAACTACGCTCCCCTGCTCGTTGAGAATATCAAGAAGGAGGGATTCACACACGTTATTGCCAGCCACGGTGCTTTTGGCAAGAATGTCCTACCCCGAGTTGCGGCCCTGCTGGATGTCCAGCAAATATCTGATATCACAGCCGTTGAGAGCGAAGATAGTGAGTTGCACCATTCCAATGGCCACATCGGAGAGTCAATAAGCATTTACTCGGCTGACGCAATCCAAATTATTTGCAGCTTTCGTCCGACCCATCTATGCCGGAAACGCCATTCTTACAGTCCAATCTACAGATCCCGTGAAGGTTTTCACCGTCCGAGGAACCGCCTTCCAAGCCGGAGAGACCACAGGAGGCTCCGCGGAAATTGCAGATGGCGCTGATCCCAACGTACCATCTCCCACTGAATGGGTATCAGAGGACTTGGCCAAATCTGATCGCCCTGATCTTGGCACTGCTTCCCGCGTCGTTTCTGGAGGTCGTGGTCTTAAATCAAAGGAGGAATTTGACAGACTGATGCCTCCACTCGCTGATGCTTTGGGTGCGGCTATCGGAGCTTCCCGTGCGGCTGTCGACAGTGGTTTCGCCGATAACAGTCTTCAGGTTGGCCAGACTGGCAAGAACGTTGCCCCCGAACTGTATCTTTGCGCGGGTATCTCTGGCGCTATCCAGCATCTGGCCGGTATGAAGGATAGCAAGGTTATTGCTGCGATTAACAAGGATCCTGATGCGCCTATCTTCCAGGTTGCGGATGTTGGCTTGGTGGGGGATCTATTTGAGAAGGTCCCGGAGTTGACTGAGAAACTGAAGAAACAATAGAAAATATTAGAATGTCATTTATTGATGTGTGTTATGTATTTATATATATTTTTCTTCTAGTTCCCATTTCATTATTTTGTCTTTTGGGGCCATCTTAGGCCATTTCTGCTTCGCTGTTACAATTTTGCTGACCCATTCCAGTCCTCAGGAGGGTTTCTTGAGCAATGTCTATGACGAATTCGTCTAAATGTACGTATATACAGTATAACCAAATTTTGTATCGCATGCATGAAAACATGTATTGCATACCAAGATGTCTAAAACTAAGTCAAGTACCGGACGCAAAAAATACATTTTTGTCCTTAAGTTTTGGGACTCTTTGTGTATACATTTTAACTACCTACTCATAGATTTTAAACGGTATAAGAAAACACAAGATGGTGTCGTGGTGTAGTTGGTTATCACGTGAGTCTAACACACTCAAGGTCCCCAGTTCGAGCCTGGGCGACATCAAGACTTTTTAAGCAATATTTTTGTTGCATTTCTGCCAGATTACGCCAGCGATTGGCCACTCCACAAGAAACGCAGCCCACAAAATACAAAATAAAAAAGGTTTCAATTTGTAAGTTTTGCCCCACGTGGCATTCACGCCCTCATTCATCAATGCGACTGCAACAATATCATATAAAGTTAACAAAATGAACCATCTGACAACTCGAGAGGGAACACATGAAGCATAAAATCGAATTGAAACCATTCAGAATTGAACTGAAGACCTTCAATGTATGGGATTACGAATGATATCAGCTACACATGGTGTCTCTATTTCATGGAAGGTGATGTTTTTCGTTGATGACGAAAACTCGGTCTGAACGAGCCAAAAAGTAGAAAAAAAGACAGACTCCAACAACAAATCTCGACAAACTGCGTGAAGGGATGAAAGGCATAAAAACTTTTTGATGTGAATGACACCATCCAGGCTCGAACTGGAGACCTTGAGTGTGTTAGACTCACGTGATAACCAACTACACCATGGTGCCTATGCTGGATGGGAGATTATCGGCTCGAACGGAAGATTTTCGGTGGGAGGAGCCTTAGCCATAAAATGCGGGTTCTGTTTCGATATGTCCTTCATGAAACAGAGACTGATTGTAACTGCATCCATGTGTTTTAACTTTGCACTGGGACGTTGGGTTGGATTGCAATTTCTCTGTTTGGCTTCGCGGTATCGGGTTGTTTTTTTGCAAAACCAGCGGCGAGAACACTACTGGGGCGGGGGCCGATATGTGTAAGTGTCAAATATTCAACGTGAGCGCAAAAATTGGCAGCACATGGCATGTTGAATCGGCCTGATTCTAAAGAATTACGTGGCAGCCCAAATTAAATACAGGAAACATAACATCATCGCTGATTTAAGCGAGAAGTAGCAGCAAATAGCATAAACCAATCATCTGACAGTATGCTCCATGAACTAATCTTGCAATATGCTTCCCTTGCTAGATCCTAAGCCTTCCTTCTCCACCTTCAAGCTCCACACACCGTATCAAACCCTCAATTCTATTTTTTTTTTTTTTTTTTTTTGAATGAATTGAGGAAGCACTCCGTATGACTCCATGTTGACAGGCAGTGCTATATCGCGTTCAACCCAATACATTGTCCCTCAAAAGTATCCAGATTAAAAATCTGAAGGCCGACGGAAGACACGTGCTTTTCCTCCCTCTTTAGCTCTACAGTTTATGTGGGGCGGTTGATTCACCTATTTGTGGGGACGACTAGCTAGCTACCCAAAATACACGCCTCTATCACGTGGAGTGGGGCGGCTGCCCGGGCAACATGCCCAACAGTTTAGATCTCGGCTAGCTTTGACATTACTCAGGAGCATGGAACCTTAGTCATCCGAGAAAGACGGCTCTAGAACCCCTGGGGAACTTTAGCCTAACCAGTTGTCCCTAGGTGTTCCTTGCAGCTGCGCAAAGATCCCGGAGTCAACGGTGAGTCAGATCACCACTGCCCGATTACCATTCGGGGCGAGCTCTGACCATAGTTAGTCTGTGAAGTACGGAGAGCGGCTCGGTGTCGAAATATCGATAGGCCGCTTGCGCTACCCTCGCTCGCGGTGGTGGCTTGACCAACTAACTGCCGAGGGGGAAGCTGACATATGCAACACGCCTGGATCCTGCCTTAATTCATTCGAATGCACCCTTCTGGTGATCAGGTAATGACGTCAGTATGTTGAATTTGTTATTAGTCAACGTTGATTAGAGAGTTAACAAATAAAAGCTTTGATTGGAAAGTGGATGTGACTTACTAATGTAGTTACAGAATTCGGGTTTCTAATTGCCAATAAGGCTGCATGTGTACGTTTCTGACGCCCTTGAGATTGTGAGGAGTGCATTGGTATATTAAGAGGGGCATCAGGTCCCATTATATCCTCTCGTCTTTTTTGCCTTAAAAAACGTACGCTCAAGGCATCCGAACATTCGACTATCAATATCACCCCATTCTTCCAAGAAGTTTTCGATGATTCGACTCTGCTCCTCACCATAAATACTGCAAAGCAGCCTCACTTTCCTAAATCGGTTCGAGAAAATCCTCCCGCCAAAACAAGAAGACAAATCTAAAACCCATACGGTCCTCTCTACAATATCTTACAAGACAACCATCACCGTTACAATGCCATCCAAGGGATCTACCACAGCTTCTCCTCCTACCCCCGCCTCTACACCTCGCAGCTCCTCGGAATCGAGCATTGAACGCCTGAAATCCATCCTTCACACGGCGAAGAAGCCATCACCCGCCGATGCCAAACCAAGCCCGAAGAGCAAGGCCGTTACAATGGAGGCCCGGGCTGTGTATTTCTCGATGAAATGATTTACATGTAGCATAGAGGTGGACAGCGACCTCCACACCGCGTTCAGCTCGTTGCCTGCTACAACGCGTTGGGAAGACGATGCATTTTTGCGATGGTGTATGGCGTTTGGATTTATGAAAAGCGCGACCGGTGCTGGAGGGCTCGCGAGCCCATTATTTCTACCGGTTTAAAATTGAGATCTATATTAAAATTGATTTTTATATACGTCTAACTTGGTCTCGATAGATTGATTAATTTTCTTGAAAAAACAGGAGTATGTTGGGTACTGGCACTCTTCTTTCTTAATTGTTTGCGCCTTTGTTTAAAATTCTTAATATTAATTTTAGTGTTGTGTGCTCATTAGTTTTGCTGCTTTCACGAACAGATAGTTATTAGAACCTCTATAATCTCATATGCTTCACCAGCAATGCAGGCCTTGCTCTATAAAAGCTGAGCCTTTCCAGTAAATGAAACAATTGGAAACCCTCAGCCCTGATTTACCAAACTGCTGAAGTAAGTGGCGGAATTGCAAATTGAACAGGATTGCAGTCGAACGTGGTTTTCAAAAAGTTATATGTGGTTTTAAATTTTTGCTGGCAAAACCTTCGGTATGGTTTATATATAATCATGAAACCTTTCCACTAGAATTACATACGTTCGCATATTTCACCCATTTCACACACATCTCTCTCTGCTCTAGGTGATATGATTTATCATACTTCTCGACTCTTCCTCTTAGGTGACTTTAATTTTAACCTCCTTCTAACTCGGGTGTTGAGATAGTAAGTTGAATAAATATATGGCAATATATACCGAATATGTTGTGTTTATTTTAATGTAGTTTAGTTTCTACTAAGATATATTCTTGATTAACATTATATTCAACTTTATGCATTTTCTACTAATTAATTTAATATGTCAATTATCTCTATAAAAGCTTTAAATTCTTAAAAAAACAATAAAAAAATTAAATAAAAATTTAATCATTGCAATGAATGTGCTACTGAATACAGCTCTAGCGCTTCCTTATAGAATAAAAAATTGAATTCATCAGAAGAAGAAAGGAAAGAAGAATAAAAGATGAAGACAGAAAGTTTTATACAGATTAGAGTGAAGAAAAATAATTTAAATGTAAATTATTTTAATTATAAAAGATTATCATCAATTAGATGTTAGCCAATTACAAGATATAAATATATAAAGGTTGAATCTATTTTAATTGATTCTTTTAAATTAAATTATGTTATATGAAGAAATATCTTAGTTCTTTGAATGTTTAGTTCATGATGAAATACATTATTGTTTATTACATCTTTTAAAACTCTAATTATTTAAATAAATTTAAAACTATAGCTTAGTTTCTTTAATTTAAAAAGAGTTCTTCCTTATTTATAAGCTCATTTTTTTATGTTTACTTTCTCTGAAACACATTACAATTTTATAAGCTTCTAAAGCTTAAGACTTCTAATAATATATTTAAAGCTATAGGTGAGTAACTTTCTTAATATTATATATAAAGTTTGCTTACACTTATTTATTAAGTAATTAATTAATTGACTAGTTATATGCAAATGGCACAGTAAAAGAAAAGAATCTATTACACATCATTAATGTTAAATAAACTAAAAGAACTAAAAAATACATTTTCTTTTGAGAAAAAGTTTTTAGCAAATGCTGAAAATGTTATTATATGAGCTTAAACAAGAAATAAAGCTTTTACAAAAGAGGTTGAAATGAGTAGACTAATAGGCAAAGAAGTGAGTTTTACAGGAAATATGATGAGTGTGCAGAAGAGAATCATAATTCAGAATTACTCATTGAAGGAAGAGAACAGTTAATATATATTATTAGGAGTTGTTATATAATACAATTTGTTCAGATCTTCAAGCTCAGTTGTTCCAGTAGGGGCTACCAAAGTTGATCATGGTTTTGAAAAAGTGGGCCCAGCTCGTACACCAACTTCAACTTTTAAAACCAAGTTCATCTGTAACCCTATTTCAGATGATTTTAGATTGGAGAGTTGATCATGGTTTTAATAAAGGGGTGAACTTTTAAACCACTTTCAATGGTAACCCCTGTTTAAACCACACTGAAGGTTTTTCGGGGCTGAATTTTGAAACCACATTCCAACTGTACGCCCATTAGTTGGCAGTAGGGTTCAATTTCGAGGGATCTTAGAGTTCTCGATATCTGGAAAGACTAGACTGGAGAATTTCTTTAGGGGGGTTAGAAGCTTGACGATCGTTGCAACAAACTCTTGTCATACAGAGCTCTAATTGTTCTATTTTAGGAAACAGGATTCCTAGCATCGGTAGAGTACATTACGGAGAATGCCGGTTGCGCTGATCCGGTTGCAGAATCTTTTTGTTTATGCGCATGTTGGGCTGATGTTCAGGGGTCGGTCGCCCAGTGCATCTGCCCGGGATCTGATAAGAAAGCAACTAGCCCTACAGTTGTATGTCCGGAGCCCAAGGAAACTGCAAAGTTGAGTCCGGATATTGATGTGGCCGAGACAGTACCAGTATATGGTGTTTTTCTTGACGTCTGGCTCGGAGCCTTTATAAGATCTTCTCAAGTTAATGTTAGGATTCTGTCTGTTCAAGCTGAAAATTTAAATGACAAATTCCAGATATGTGGAGCAAATCGTAACTCTTATGTGCCCGTCGCATTGGCAATTAGTTCACAATATTTTATCACCTGTTGAACTACCTGGTTGAACAAAATTTCCCACCTGTGATATCATCCATGGGGTTGTAGCTTGGATGCAAACAAATTCGCGAAATGCTTCATCAACAGGTATTGATGAGTCATTGGTGATCTGAACCCGCCTATGGCCATCGCATAAGTCGACAGAACAGCCCTTAACTTCGACATATTATTTCCTCAACCAAATGAACAATACTGCGTAGTCGTTCGCCCCAAATTCTCGCACTTAGAGTGTCACACAGTTCATTTTTGCATCATTTATATATAGCCAGTATCCGCCTGCCGGAATTTCGGGGAATGATTTACCGTCTCCGAGAGTTCCCTTGACATGTATCACCCTGGCCCATCCTGAAATATCGACTCTTGCATGCCGCCATTCCTTGGTCCCAACCATAGCATCCTCTTTCCAAGATTTGCTTTCTGGAATAGGGGGCATCTGAAGGCCAAGGTCGATGGGAACACAAGAACTCGAAATTGGAATGCTGGGCTTGGATAAGATCGTTGTGGGGGAGAAGTCGAGGGTGACAAACGGCTGGTCTGGGGCAGATGGTAAGGCTATTTCCACCCGAGAATAGGGTATGGTAGATGGCGTGTCTGACGGGGTAAATTTAAAGTTCGCCAGCTGATAATTTTTTGGAGATTAGTTGAGATAGATTATCTTCGTCAGACTTGGGTATAAATAAAGTAAATAGGAATATCTACATGTTTCGGAATATTCCAATTTTTGCGCCCTGAATACAGGGAAGAGTAATGAATAATCAGCGAGACTCAGACAATGGGATGAACGTCCGGGGACATAAGACATACCATTGTAAATTGACTCCTTTTTGGAAACATAGATCCTCGTTACCCGTGCTCTGCTCATCCCCATATCTGGGACCTCAAACCATCCTGGCATCCACAATATTTCATCATATGGGCCTAATCGTGAATAAGAAAGCGTGAGCTGTCCATCCTCAAATCATATTTGACATTCAACCGGTCATCGCCTTACCGACAGGCGTCTCCAGATACCTTACTATCATCACCGTGCACGCCCACCCCTTAAACTGGCCACTCGTGGTCGGGTCAGCAAACGATGACTGACCCTCCAAGTCTGCATAGGATGCTTTAGGGAGACATTTGGCACGACCGATGGTCCAGAAGAACTGAGCTTTCATATTCATCCATGGTGACGGTTTATCTGAGAATTCAGTCTCGGTAGTCTGACCACAATTTTCGGGAGTTTGGCTGGGTGGCTCAGACATTTTAAACTGTATATTATGTTCACCTCATATGCGAGGAGATTGATTCAAAGATGATGGTTTTCAAGCTGTTGGGTACGTGGCATTGACATTGGGACGTCAGCCTTGCTTGCTGGGCGTTCCTTTTATCCCGTGGACTCCTGAGGATAGGAACGTTGTCAGAAGAGGAGAAAAAGCAAATAGGCTACGACTGGTAAGCGTACAGCTTGGCTTGCTGCTTGACCAAGCCGATATCAAAATTTAGGAACACACCTAGATACGTTTTAATGTTGTTGGCGGTAGAAGCTTTGAGCTCCCTTAGCCCCTCTGCTGGTGAATTTACGCTTTTTCTGCCAAGAAGTCTCGATTCCACCCTTTTTAGTCGTTCTTTGGACTTTGTTTCTAGATCTGACTCGACGTCTCCTCCAAGACCTCGCAGTTGAGAAGTGGCATGTTATCATTTGATGATGTTGTGCCCAGTATTTACCACAACCTGGGGTGTATAGAAATAGCGGATCGTATCTAAGGAAGAACTTCGGTTCGGAACCATGTCGATTTCCAAGGAGAGGGCTGATTATGCAGGATCCTGAGGTACCTGAGATCGTAAATTTGTGATCCTGATGGGACCGAACTATCGGACTGGACAAAATGCCTAACCTCACAAAATAAAGTCGTGACATTAAACCTAATGAACTCATGATAAAACACGTGTTACTTACATATGTCAAATGAAATAGGGTTCTATCTACGTTTGCCAACCCCCCCACCCCCACCAAAAAGACCACTTAGCATACCTACGTTTACAACCCTGATAGGATCTCGCTCAGCGTCACCTGTTTCCTAACCGCATTAGAAAACCCCTCATGAAAACTAACCCACGCTTGTTCATGCCCTGCCGGCTCTGAAGGCTTAGTGGGAGTGACGCCGTTGCTAGGACCAATTGAATTGGGTTGTGCTTCATTCGTGATCACCCGCCCAAAGAAATCAAGTTTGGGTCCATTTAATCTGGAAGCCAATATGGAAGATGCTACACTACTTGGGCCGTTCTCTTTGGGATTATTAAAATCCTCGTGGGATTGATTGCCGCGTTTCGGTCCGGTAATTCTTGCTTGCCCAGCTTTGGACCGCTGGCGGAGGATATCCTTTTCATATTCTTGCTGAAGAACTTGGCGCACAGCGTAACGGACGGGTGCTGATGATCCGACGCCCTTCAGGTTGGAAAATGTGGTTAATGTGTCAAGGGGTCTGATGGCAATAGTGTCAGCAAAGAATATTGTAAAACGGTTGTTTTGAAGACTGAGAGGGATGTAGGGTCAAACAGGAAGGGGAGGGGAGGCATGGCGACGATACTTACGGTTCCATCCTGTAAATCCAACTATTATGGAAACCAGTTTCGCTCTCAATCCTTGCATGCTCAAATTTTACCCCTGTGCCACTCATTACTCTGACTGACGACCTTACAAGTGCACGCTCGCTTTCTTTTCGCACACTGGCGACACCACTCCCCCCCCCACTTCCACCAACAATCACCGGTTTGATCCCTGGAGCTAACATTCTGGTAAGATTAGGGATGAGCTCTGTGATAATTGACTCAGTGGAGCGGAATGTGCGCAGAAGGGCTGGGGAAAACCTCGACTGGAACTCGGTTATCGTAGCGTGGTTGCGCTTCTGCGCCTCAAAGGCTGCAAAATCTGCTTTTGGACCTGAAAACGGGTGTTCCTCTCCATCCTCTTCGTTGTTCACCAGGTTTTTGTCGCCGTCCCCAGTTCTTCGGTTAGAGGAGGCAAACAGGTGATGAAATGCCACGACTGACTGGCTCAGGTACGGGTTGAGTTCCCAGTCTTGATTCGTGTAGACTTTGGAAGATATCATGTCATGGAAATGAAGCCATTCGTAGGCTGCGTTAGGTTTGGAGAGAATAGTATCGTCTTGGTATGCTTGTGTTGGGTAAGCGGTAAAACAGTCCGTGATGCAGCGGTCATATTCTCCTGCAGCATCAACCATTTCCCTCAGGCGGCTAATTGCATGACGTTTGCGAAGGTCGGAGATTCCAACAGGAATCTTTACATCACCGCCAGAGAAGGGATCTTGGAAGGTTTGGGCAGAGATAGGTGCATTTGGGAAACCTGCTCCATCAAGGAAAACACGCTCAACAATATCTTTCGTTCCGCCACGTCCTAACCCCCGCGATGACCCTCCATCTCTTACAGAGTCGTTTGAGATGTGTTGCTCGACCCATCTCCTTGTAAGTCTGATATCTGAAGTTGGGCTGGTCGCTCGAAGCTTTTGTGCTATCCATTCTCCAGCTACTAAGACGCGCCTGATATCACCCTCTCCGATACCGCGATTGTTGGTATTACGGTCTCTGCTACTACTCAGGCCCCATGAGGCTTCGCAAAGGCGTCTCACTCCGTCTCCATCACAGGGGATGCCCTCTCTCTCAAATACAGTCTTCATTCGCAAGACCATTTTGTCTAGAGATGCTTGTCGAACGTGGAGAATTTCAGCGATGGAGGACGTTCGCAATGGACGGAGACTAGGGTGGTAAACATCATTGCATATAAGAATTAGAGGCCGAAGGAGGAGGAATTTATCTCCTTTTTTATATCTCCTTTTGTGAATCGAAGTAGATTCTGAGGTGGAATGGGAGTTCTTTTGGTCCAACATCACGAGGTCGATCAGTGCCTTCATGAAACCTCCCTCGCCGCTACCACCTGAACCACCAACTACTCCATCGACTTCATCGACGACGACGCAAACAGGCTTGCCAGCTTTCCGAATCCTTTTACCATCGGCTTCAGCGGTGATACCTTTCACATTTTCAGTACCCACCGCATCTCGAATTCTACCCTTGACAATATCGCGACTTCTTTCGTCACTGGCATTTATCTCTAACACTTCGTATCCTGCCTGTCTTGCGCATACATGAGCCAGAGTGGTTTTCCCTAGTCCGGGAGGCCCTGTTAGGACTAAAACTTTTCGGTGGGTGCGTTCTCCAGCGTCATTCCCTGTGGTGTTCTTGGGCTTTGGTTTTGCCAATCCGGGAAATACAATAGCGTCCCATGATTTAAGCCAGCGTAAAACAGATCGATGAGTCCTCTCATCCCCAACGAGATCCTTAAATTTCCTGGCGCGATATTTTTCTGTCCACAGAAGAGTTGATCCTTTAATTGTCTCATTAACACTCGATGTTTCGGTGGAGGTTTGGTGGGAAGGAAGCCGTGAACGACGGGCAATATCTTGGGCATTTTCAACTGTGATGTCATCCAGCAATTTGTGAATGTCAATCCCATAATAGCTCTTTTGCGCTCTCCCTGGAGCTGTAGTTGAACGCTCCGCAATTATTTGCTCATAAGGAATGGACGAAGCCATTTCCCTAGTTTGGACATTCACGATTCTATCTGAACATGTCTGGATGGAGATGTAACTTTTGGCCTGTTTTTGTGAATTATGAGTTACCAATGGTGTAAATTGGGATTTTTTGATCGGCTTTGCGTTTCCAAGGGGTTCAAATGAGGATTCGGTCGGATCCGTATTAGTAAAAGGCATAAACGGAGTTTGGTTCGCATTTCCATTCTCGCTGATACTACTGAGCACGGACGGTGCTCTTGTATTTGGATTTGTAGGGCTTGTGTTTAATGCTGTATTTGACGATGCTGAATTGGAGACTTCATCCTGCAGTCCAGGTTTTGGCCCACGGGGGGCAAATGGATTTCCATCGTCCTCACTATCAGAATCATCCTCATCAATAAACGGTCCGATCAGCTTCGGGCGCTTGGGAGAGAGAGGCTCAAAGGCATCTTTTGGTTTTCTTTTCCCTTGGTCTGCATGTGAACTCCCGTCGGACTCTGCATGTACCGTATTGCTGGACGGTGGTAGCATTTCCACATTTATCGAAGGCGATGAAGCGCGGCAGAGCGTCTCTGTCACAAGATTGGCTGCTAGGAGGGACATGTTCCACGATTTATATGGTTATGTGGAAATCCCTAGTTACTACTATTGTTAGAAACTACATTCCACACCAAATTGTGCCATATGTGGAGAACGCCCTGGAGCCCGCGGATTTTGGCCCAGTCCACGATGAGTGGCATTAACGTACTTGCTCATAAACCATCGGACAACAGATAAATATCGATATCAAATTGCACCGGCTGAAAGAGGATAAAAGTAATATCACATAAACTATAGTAATGAAAAATTGAGGGCTTAGTAGTTACGACAACTGGAGATATCGCATTGGCAGAACCCTCAATGGTGGTTTGCAATCTGCACTCTAGGTCTCTCCCATCCAAGTCCTGTCCTTGAGGAACGCGATCACGCGTTTTTGGTCGTGTTTGATTTTGCGGCGGTGAGGTAGTTACGTTAACCAGTTGTTAGCCGACCTTCTGGTTACGCCTACTTCACGTGATCTAGCTAGCCCTGGTACACGTGATCTATAGAGTCTGTATAATAGCGTAGCTAGCCTACGCCTCAATCACAACGAAGATTCGCACGTACTCGATATTCATCATCACCCCAGAGCTAATTAGTTAACTAAAGTTTGGTAGTTAGTTAGTTATCAATTTCCGCTGACTAACATCGGAAGTTGGGAAATACGTTGATCCGGTAAACTGCGCGCTTTGTCCTTTTGCGCACCCGTAGGACGCCTGCCTCTGCGGCTCTAGTCCGGATGTGGCTAGCTGAAAGGGCCTCCCAATCGCGACGACTTTTCAAAGTTGATCATACTCACAACAGATGCTGAGAGATAAAAAACACCCTATCATCATTCTCAACTTTGACTTTGGACCTGCATATTGGCTGTTGTCTGTGTGCATCGGGTTTCGCATTTTGCTTTGTGGGCTTCTGAACACGGTCTTGGTGACCGCTTTAATTTGACAGCGCATCCATCTTCCCGCGCAGGCGTTAGCCTGGACCGATTAAGGCTGTAACCTTGCTTTATTTCTTTGTGCCACATACAGAATGGAGGATCTAAATGCAGCCTCAAGCGAGATGATTACTGATGACCAGGCGGTCGCTCCTCTCCA